GATTCAATTCCATATAATTGTCATCGTAATCAGATCATTATATTTGTACAAGATAAATGGAAAGCAATATATTGAATTAATTACTCAATAAGATAGTAAATAAGTAAATATATGTTAGTGAATACATTTATCAATTGTTTCTTGTGTTTTCTCTTGCTATGTCGATCAAGATTAATGTAGTATACATGTATTAGGTAAACGAAGGTTTAAAAATATTCTCACGCATTATATAAAATTAATATCAATATTTAAATCGATATTTATCTTTAAGTCTGCATTCAACTTAACTAAGAATTGTATTTAATTTTTTATAAACAATATGTAACGAAACAAATGTATTTTTAAATATAAAGATTATATTTTTTTATCGGTATTATAATTTGTAACTTTAAAATTTAAACTTAAGTATCTACTTCAATGACCAACAGTTTAAAAATAATATTTATTTTTAAAAACAAAAATTGTTGTATTTAATTTCTTTTAAATGTTATTATACATTTATTTATAATAATATTATTTATTATTTTAGTTATAAATATCATTCCAAAAATGTTATAAAGTCTACTGAAATTACATTTATTAAAACTACATAAAGATAATAATTTTAAAAAGATCTGTGACAAAATTGTGAAGATATCTTAATATGGTATTATTAAAAAAAAATTCTATAATTATTAAGCTTCAAAATAAATTAATATAAAAAAAATATTAGCGAAATTTATCAAAAAATTGTTAATTTATTATAAAAATTAAAAGAACCTACGCCGAATTATGTATAATGCAACATTGTTTCATCGCATTATTATTGATAATAAATCATGAATGTAAGGTTATAATAATATTAATATAAAAATCCTGTTACATTATTCACAAAAAAATTATTATTCAAAATTAAAGTGGTTTATATTTGATTAATTAAGTTTATATTGTATTATTAATACAGTTACGTACGTATGCATACGTACGTCTGATCTGCATTAGATGTTTTATAAAATTGTGTTCACAAAAATTACAAAACTTATTAGATATACAAATAATATTCAACACTATTTTAAATTTAAAATGATCCAAAATTTAGTAAAGAAAATCAATAATAATTAAAGTAATCAATAAAAATACAATTTATTTGAAAAAGTTAACGATTAATTAAATAGTTTACAATTAATTATCTATTTCAATTCATAATTGAGATTATGAAAAATTGTATAATTGTTTTCAAATGTCTTATTTCAATTAAGAATACATTACATTATTAAAAACAAGAAATTGAAATAAACAATAAAAATGTTAATCTTTATTCATTTGTACATTTATATTACATTATATAATCAAATAACTACATAAATATGTAAATACTTACAAATTGAATTTTTTATTGACAAGATGAAGTGATGAAAAATCTTCTTAAAAAAAATATGAAAGCTTAAATTTTGACTGAATCACAAAATCACCGAATTACAAATTTTCTACTTCTTGAAGAATGGTACTAAATACCATTTATAATTTGTAAAATAATAAAAAAATAATTATAAGTTATGTATGCGTACATACATATGTGTGAATTATACAATTCACTGAATTATAGGCAATATTTATGATCATTATTCTGTTAAAAGAAATTACTATTAAAGATGAAACAAATATTATTTAAATAAATGACCCGTCAATATATTTTAATTTGATTCACTTATATATTTTTGTTTATAAATGACTCATATATAAATTCAATTATTCAATTTTCATTCATTCCAACTTTAAATCTTTATAACATTTTTGTAAAAGATAATATATTGAAATACTAAAAACTTAACGAGATGGGCAGGAGGCATACGAGAGTGGAGAGAGAGAGAGAGAGAGAGAGAGAGAGAGAGAGAGAGAGAGAGAGAGAGAATCTATAAATAGAAATAATACAAATTGCAATTTCATTAAGACTTTAATTTTAATAAATTATCATAGTCAAATTATACTATTATTAGTACTACTTATAGTATGTATTTTTATGCACAGTTGTATGTAAAATATAGTCGTTTAAAAAGAATTAAAAATATTGAGTAAATGAATGTTAAAAATAATAATTAGAGACTGCTGCTCAGAATAAGGAGATAAAATAGTTATCCGAAGCAGTAATGATAAAAATAAAAGAAAGCAATTTGCAAAGATATATTCTGATAAATAAATCAAATATGAATTTAATAATAATTACAGTTAAGATTTTTATGATAAAAATGAAAGAAATATTAATAAAAATGAAGAAATATTATAGCCCAAACCATATTTATTAAAGATAAAATATTCGATGACATAATTGAATATACTTGTAGTTCAAAAATAGTATAGAAAAATTAATTTTATATTTTTAATAACTATTTTTCATAGTATAAGTGCATGCTATTTCAATATAGTTTTTAATATTACCTACCAAATTTAAAAAATAGTACATTTGGTTCAAATTTATATAATCTTATTCTGAAATACTTTATAGAAAGATTATTAAATATTTATATGTTTATATTTTATATAATAATCATAATGTAGGAGTAGGTACAATATTAAAAATTAGAAATTAAATATAATGTGTATAAATAATCTTCATATATTTAGAGGTAGTCGTGTACCACAAATAATTATTAATACATCAATTTTATACCAAATGAAATAGAAATAATTTTATTTCATAACTATGAATATATTTTCTAAATATGTTGATAAATAAATCAAATCATATTTTAAGACAAATATTAATTATAGTTTTAAAAGATATTTTTAAACTTGAATGCAACTTATTAAACTATATATTTTTTTTATTGAATAATATTTACTACCCTTTATTTTACATATCGCACATTTTAAATAATATTATTTATTAATAATAATATTTTTATTTGTTCCATAAAATATTTTTTTTTAATAAAATTAGATTATATAAATATTCTTTTCAATTTGATTTTCGTCTAAAATCACGATTTATATCAATGAATTACAACCGAAATTATGAACATTATCATCATAAACTAAGTTCTTTAATGAAAATTTAATCAATGGTTACTTATTATTCTACTTATGACATAATATTTAAGATACTTTTTCTAATTTTTTTAATGAATTCAACATTATTAAATATTTATTCAATAAAAGATTGGAAAAGGTCTACTTTTAGCTCATGAACATGTTTTAAAAATTATTTAATAAATATCATTTATTTTAATACAAAATAATATAAAATATTCATATTTTAATATTAAATATTAATAAATTAAAATATATCTGTAATATAGACTTATTAAATATATAATATCTGTGATATATATAATATATCTATGATATAGACTTATTAATTACATTATATCTGTGATATATATAATATAATTAAAATATTCATATTTTAATATTAAATATTTTATATTATTTTGTATTAAAATAAATGATATTTATTAAATAACTTTTAAAAAAAGTTCATGAGCTAAAAGTAGACCTTTTCCAATCTTTTATTTAAACTATTTAAGTAGTTCACTACAAAATGTAATATTAAATATTTCAATTCATTATATTATCTTATATACAAGTCATTTCTATAAAAATTACATCGACAAATCTAACTGTTTTAGTTTTAGTCTAAGTTTTTGAATTATAAAAAATTTATTGAATATTACTATTAATTTTTTTTTTCATTACAATATAATTATTATATATATAATATAAATATAAATATGCCTTGATAAAGTGTAGTAAATGATACTATAATATTATAATCAATTTAATTATTCATATTTAATATTATTATTTCGCATACAAAAAGTCATGTAATTTTTATTATTAATTTTATTAGTTAATTATATTATTAGTTAATTGCTGAACAAGTCATATTTACACCTAACATTTAGTCTATAATCCATAATTTACATATCTACAATTTATATTTAGTTAATCAATTATGCTGGATGACGTTATCGGTTATATAAATTTGCATGCATAATAATTATCATTATAGTCTTTTAATAACTTTTCTTCAGCCGTTTGTATAATATACAAATGAACAATGATCATGATTACGGTTTTTATTTATAGTTCTATTATACTTTAAATAAAGCATAATTATTTCTATTTTTCTTTGTGTTTTAGATCAAATACTGATATATTTTACATTAAATAATTTTAATTAAATCAAAAGATTAGAATTATGTAGAAATGTTGCATCTTTTTACTGTAATTTATGTTATGCCTCTCAGATGGCGCTTTATGATTTAGTATTTATCATTCAACTTATGTTAGGATTTTAACTAATAAATCGAAACTTTGTCAATTAGTTTTACATGTAATTGTGAAGTGATGTATAGATTTTTGCTTTAAAAATATAATTAATGTTTGCACTTTAAAAATAATACTTTTCGAAATTTTTAATTACGTAAGTTATAACAGTAATTTATTTTGATTCAATTTTAGCCTCAAGATAATTATATTCAATTTATTTCTACTTATTTATGTAAAAGATTAATGCAGCATGCTTGGAACCTGTATAATAATATGTTTCGTTATAAAATAAATTATTTCAAATATTTAAACAAACACTTTACAAGTAATAACAATTATTTTCAACGATGTTTAAATCACAAGCAGATGTGTAATTTTTTTGAATCTGTATCAAAAAATGTATGTTAGTTAATTATTGATTACAAAATATCAACTATAAATGTCTATAATCTAATTACTTATTGTTAATTATATTTTAGACACTAAAACAATTTCAAAGGGAATACCGAGCAGTTCATTCCATATTAATTCGCAGTTGTTTCATTAAAGTATCTCGTATACAAAAATCTGATGATAGTAGATACTTTAGTAATGGAAATATAAAATTAAATAAAAATAAAGCTAATTCATCCACTAATTCTGAAGATGATTTAAATCAGAAGAAAAACAATAATGACGACGAAAAAGATAAAAAATTAGTTAAAGCAAAATTTTTTTTAGCTTTGGGACTGTTTCAAGGTTTTGTTATTTTAATGTTTAGTATTTTTAATATAAAAAACATATTTCAAGATGATGCAGTAAGTAATTACTTGCTATAATATCTAATAATATTCATTTTAATTTTCTATTCTTAAGTATTTATATTAATAATTGTTATTAAATACTAATATTTATATAAAATATATTAAATTATCAAATTATACATGCAGGTTATTAGGCATCTATCTATATAACAATAATATTTATAATATTAAATATTTATAACCTGTTTCAGAGGTCTGAAATAGTTTCATGGAATGAATTTGTTTACCAATTTTTGGCAAAAGGAAAAGTTGAGGAAGTCATTGTTGCACCAGAAGTTGACATAGTGATATTTAAAGTTTATGATAATGCTGTGATTGAAGGCGAAAAAAGTATATATTCAGTATATCGCATGTTTGTTCCAAATGTAATAAAAATAGAAGAAAAAATTCGAGAAGCAGAAAGAAATTTAGGAATAAAATCTGGTTAGAAAATTTAAATGTTATTTCAAATATTTAGTTTATATTAAAAACAGAAGATTTTAAAAAAACTTATTTTTTCAAATAAAAATGAACTATTTATCATATTAATAAATATAATTTTTTTAATCTTCATATTCAAATTATTTATTTTAATGTATATTATTTACAGAGTTAGGAGTGCCAATTAAATATGAAAGGTCATATTTTTCTAATATTTTAATTATTATACTAATTATATTAGCTGCTTTATTTTGGCGCTTTTCTAACCGTTTACCACAAATACGTGAATTTACTCCTAAATTCTATAGTCACATGACACAAGCAAAATTTACTTTAGTCGATCCTCTGACTGGAAAAGGCAAAGGTGTTCACTTTTCAGATGTAGCTGGATTACGAGAAGCTAAAATTGAAGTTATGGAATTTGTAGATTATCTTAAAGCATCTGATAATTATAAAATTCTTGGAGCTAAAATTCCGAAAGGTAAAATTTTTATTAAGCAATTCATAATTTTTTAATTTTATTATTTGAGAAAATTTGAATGTATGAAGTTTAACTTTATATTAGGAATTCTATTACTTGGTCCACCAGGATGTGGAAAAACTCTACTTGCTAAAGCTGTTGCCACTGAAGCGAATGTTCCATTTTTATCAATGAATGGTTCTGAGTTTAATGAAATAGTTAGAGGACTAGGTGCAGCTCGAATACGTAATTTATTTAACGAAGCGAAAAAGCGGTAAGACTACAATAAATATAGTTAAAAATTATCCATTATTAAGATAATAAAAAATTTCACAGCGCACCTAGTATAATATATATAGATGAAATAGATGCTATTGGTAAAAAACGTTCAGAAACATTTGGCAGTAAATTAACTCCAGAACATGAACAAACATTAAATCAACTTTTAACTGAAATGGATGGTATGGCAAGCAGACAGGATGTCATTGTTTTAGCTTCAACAAATAGAAGTGAAGTTTTAGATAGAGCTCTTTTACGAGCGGGTAGATTTGATCGACATGTTCTTATTGATCTTCCAAATCTGGTGGAAAGACAAGAAATTTTTGAACTACATCTTAAACAAATTAATCTAGATCAGGATATCTCAGTTTATTCACATAGATTAGCTACTATGACACCAAAATGTAGTGGTATGTTCATATTAATTACTAGTGTATAAGTTTAAATTGTTTTTACGTTAATCAATACTTCTTTATCTTGATACAATATTAATTAATGACATAATTTTGTCATATAAATTTTGTTTGTTAATGACAAAAGTGAAGGTAAAGTTCTTTAAAAATGTATATTAGTTTTTCTGTATTAAGACAAGTTAAATTGATTATCTTTTTATTTATTAAATAATTAACTGTCCATTTATAAACTTTACGAAAGATAAAAAAAAACAATATAAAACTTTTAATTGAATAATTTGGGGAATGTTCATGTTAATTACAAGAATCTATTTTATAATCTTTTCTGAATTAATGTAGTATTAATACATTAAAATTGTTAAATAATATAATATCATTAAATTTAGTATTGATTATGGTAACACTTACTTTATTAGGAGCCGATATTGCAAATGTATGCAATGAAGCGGCATTGCACGCAGCTCGAACTTCGAAGCAAAAAGTAGAGAGCGAAGATCTATGGTGGGCTGTAGAACGAATATTAAATGGATGCGAAAAGATTAATAAGACCATATTAAAAACGGAGAGACGTATTATTGCTTATCACGAAGCTGGACACGCAATTGCTGGATGGATGCTCGGGAATATGGAAAATATTTACAAGGTTTCGATTATTGAGCGAACAAATAATACATTTGGCTTTGGCATAAGAACTGCAGAACAAACTCTGTATTCAAAAGAATATTTAGAGGATTTAATGTGTACATGTTTGGCTGGCAGAGTTGCAGAGACTCTAACTTTTAATGTCACTACTACAAATGGACAAAATGACTTGGAAAGGGTAAAGAAAATTGCATATAATATAGTCAGTAAATTTGGAATGAATAAATCTGTTGGACTGATAGCATTTACTGAAGAACAACTAAGTGATGTAAGTGATGCTTCTTATTATTTTTAAAAAATACAATGATTTTCTAACACCCGATATAAGTATTATTGTGATTATATTATTTATTTTGACACACATACGTTTATTTTAATACATTTTATAATTCAAGTAAATTGAAACATGAAGGTACGTCAAATACCTAACCATTGTATTTATAATCTTATGTACTTTAAGAAAAAAAAATGACGTAACTTTTACATTAAATTCTTTATATGTGATTGAACAAAACAAATAGAATTTTCACTTTTTATTTGATAATAAATTATATTTTATTATAGAAAAAATAATGTCCATCAATAGTGTTTATTAGATTAAATATTTCTTTTAATATCATAATTTATTACATTTATTTCATAACTATTTAAAATTAACTTCAAACAACTTTTAAATAAAATTCTTCATATATCTTTATTTATTATTTATCATAGATTATTGATAAAAATTAGTTTATTTAAAAGAAGTAAGTTTTCTTTCTTTTTTTTTATAGAAAAACATTAAATGATTGTTTTTTTTAGACTAATCGTAAAATATATAGCAAAATGTTGGGTAATTTAATGGATGCAGAAGTAAGAAACATGATTGCTAAGGTGTATAAAAGATGCGAAAAGCTGTTACTTGAAAATAAAGATAAATTGAAGTTGGTATGTTATACTATCTACTTTTAAATTATAATTTTTAAAATAATTATTTTTTATATAATAGAATTATTATTATATATTAATCTGTTTTTAAAAGGTTCTGTTAATTAAACAAATATTTTTGTTAATAATATATATTAATTTATCACTGGATAATAAATTACTTTTCTATAAGAAGAGAAATCGAAATTTCTGTTATTTTTTAATTTATACAAAATTACTAATATAAGGATTCTATCAATTAAATCATTTCGATTTAAGAATTATAAAACATTTTCAAGAACATTTATACTTATTGCTAAATATACTATTCAATTTTAATATACTATTATGAAATATATTAAAATATGAAAATAAGATAGTTTATAAAAAAGAAATTTAGTTTTAGTTCTAAAATTATTTATTAATTTTAAGTTAATATACTTTGCTAACTAATATTTAATATTTTTCTTAATTTAATAATTTTTACTAAAATACAATAGTATTATTCCTGTTTTCTCTAATTTTATTAATAAATTTGTAAAATGAAAAACAATATTTATTTATAGCTTGCTGAAACACTCTTGGAGAAAGAAACTCTTACTTATGAACAAGTGGAAAAAATCATTGGGCCAAGGAACATTAAGTCGAAAATGAGCTCTACACAACCACTGCCAGTAGTAGTTCCAAAGAAATTGATTAAATGATATATATATACTTAAATATAATTTTTCATTGATATTATTATCATTTTGTTGTAAATTAAAAAACAGAAAAGTTGGATTATGTAATATATTTTAATCGCGTAAAAATTAAAATTAATTGTATACACAAAATTTATAGAAATATAATTTTCTATTTTCAGTTCATTTGTCATCATTTTCTTTATACTTTATATTTAAAAGTTTAAGACTTTTTGGTCAAACAAGTTGTATTTCACATTATATCAATATATTATAATCTAAAATAAGAATCTTAAGAATATAACACGAAATTTGTTTTAGTTTGTTATATTAACATTTTGTTCCACATTTATTTATTTAATCATAAAATGAATTATTTATTCTTTAACTTGTTCTTTCGTAATCAAATATGTTGTAATAAAATATACTGAATGTTAAGTGTTTTTTTAATATATACTATTTCACAAGCTTTCAACTTAAAAGTTTTTAAAACATAAATAACTATCTTATTTTTAAATTTGCAACAAAATAATAGTATAATTAAAAATTTTTTTTTATTAAAATTAAATTTTAAATTTACTTTGTGTTTTATTTATGTTTTATTTTAAAAATTCTATGAACATTGAATTCTGTACCAAGCTACAACTAAAACTTATTACAATAAATAACTTTTAATTATTGTAGTTATAGTTAAATATATTCTGGTTGGTGAAAAATAAGTACAGAAATGGGTTTGTGTTTAGTAATAACAATAGTTTTCAAATTTTAATGGTTTATTAAATCATAATAAATTATAAATAAGTACTTTTCAAGATTTACTAAATATACTTTTCTTCTTTAATTTTTAATTAACATTATTTATTATTTAAATTTCGTTAATTATTTTTACATACTATTTTCTACAATTTAATGTTTTCTTTATACTAATGAAAATTAGGTTTAATAATTTTACGTATTTCTGTTTTCATAAAAATTATTTATTTGTTGTTTAAAATTTTCTTTATCAATAACTAATTTAAATATGACGTTTTTGTTGCATTTCTTTTTAATTTGAAAGTCCTGTGCTTTTAATATAAAAACCTGTTTCAATTATTTGAAGTCATTTGTACATTATACTATTTATATCAATAGACAAAATCAATTATCTTATAAACTTATTAGAGAGATACATACGGTATTTTGACTCGAAAATTACTTTATTGAATAATTAAACAGTCAGATTTTAATTACTTCTCAAAATAATAATTTTATTATTATTAATAATAATATGAATTCGGTTTATAAATATTTTACACAATTTATTATATTTACATGTATTTAAATATTTTCTCTTCCTTTAGATATCTAATTCAATTTTATAAACTAATAAAACTTAATTACTTTAATAATTTATTTATACAGTTTAAAAATCGATAGAATAATGTAGTCTTATTGCCATAATGTATGAAGATAATGAATATAATGATGTTTAGGATAAAAATATATATATCCAAAAGAAAAATTGGATAAAAGATAAACATAAGTAAGTAATGATTTTTGATGAATAATAAATAGATGGAAAAATTACAATTATAATTTATGCAATATATGAAAAATACAATTATTTAAATCAACAGTAATAATGATGTATGAAAAAATTAAATTTCAAATAAATTCAAAGTAAAATTAAATTAATACAAGGTAATAAAAATTTATAACAGTTATATATTAAAGTGCAAAATAATAATGAGGTAACTTATTAAAATTAAAAATATTAATATTTAATTTAACAAATGACGACTACATAATAATTACACCATTTGTTACATAATTGAACAGATTTTTCTGTATTTACATATTCAAATGTTGTTCACACAAAGTACTTTTTAAATTAAAATGTGTACTTGAATAATTGGATATTTGTCAAATTGAAAACTATTAAACAATAATAATACTAAAAAATAATTAATACTACATGAATTCTTATTTCCTAAATGCTTAGATTTATCAAATTTTAATTTATTATACTACATACTAATCTAATATATATTGCTAACAAATTGATAAATACTGTTGTAATCAAAAGCGTGGTTATAAGTTGAATATAAGTTTTATCTCGTTTTATTATAAATGTTATTTTACGATCTTTAACATTATTCAATATAATTGAGTTTCTTTAGAACTTAGTAAATTATAAATATTGTATTCTGTGAAGTGTTTTTACAATTTATAAAGAGAGGATTAAAATAAAATATTATATGCTATACTATTTTATATTATTCAGTTTTTTAATATATGTTAAAGATTAATATAAAATAAATTAAAATTAAAATATTAAATTACTGTTAAAAAATTTATATTCAAGATTTTGAAAGTCATACCTAAATATAGATATTTTATTTTGTATGTAAAGAAACAAATAATGGAATTTAAGCATTTATTATAGAATTAATTTATAGTACATATTAACGCAGATGAAGAAGGTTACTATTTTAAGAAAGATATTTTTCTGTTTACTCATGAGAGAAATTTGTATTATATATATATATATATATATTCTATAAGCAAATCGTATAATATAACAGGACAACATTTAAATTTATTATTCTAATTGAATAACTAATTACTATAATTTTTTATTTACGCATGATCTTAAAAAATTTTAGTCTATATCAAGATATATGTTTTACTTTTTATGTTTAAGTACAAAGCAATAAAAGCATCAATAAATTATTACTGAAAGTGAAAATATCAATTCACTATATCAATAAGCATTTGTTACATTTCAAAAAATAAAAAATGTAAACATTTATATTCTATTTTGTAAATAATTTGTAACAGATGTCTATTTATATCTTAATAATTCATCATTTTAAAAGGTATTTATAATAACAGACTGTAAGTTTTATAAAAAAAAACATATACAAACAGTTTATGAATCCCTGGTATTGTTGACATTAATCTGTTAACAAAAAATCATTAAATATAATATAAGCTTATCAAAAAAAATATGTTTTTCTTAACACAATATCTTTTTACAGTATAAACTAATATCTTTTTACTTTTTAACTGATAAATTAAAGTAATTTAAATATTAAGAAATAGTATTAATAATATAATTCAAATTTATAAATTTATAATAGTGCATTTAGATAATATAGCAAAATGTAGTAAGATTTTGAATATTAGCTTTTTCTAAAATAGTAAAATGAATTAAAAAAATTATATGAAATTAAATATTTGGCATGTTTTTGCTATAATTACTAAAAACATATAGTAAAATAATAAACAGATAATAAAAGTAATACCTTAAAATGTGGTTTTTTTGGATTATAGTCAACTGTAGGCTGTCCCAGAAGTGCAAATGAATTTTGGCAAGATGGATTTTGCACATACATACATCTAGCTTTGAAATGTACGTACAAGTTTTTGCAATGTAAACATAAGACATTATAAATATCCAGTAAACAATAAGCATCTAAAGCTGCATATATTATTTGACTTTCTCGCAGAGGTCTGCGTTCCCAATTCGAAAATTGATCAGATTTATCTAATCTTAGACCTAAACAAAGTTCCACTAATTTACTTAAGCTCGCATTTGTAAAAGAATTATCACCTTCATAAGGAAATTGAAAATTATAGTCATTTAATAATTCCTTCCATAAAAGACTTAAATCCAAATAACCTTCTCCACAAGCTTTAATATTTGAGAGAGCAGGTATGCTATTTCGTATTACATTAATATCTTGAGCCATGGCAAAACCTAAATTGTAAAATTATTATAAGTTTATATTAAATAAATTTAAATGAAATAACTAAAATGAAAATGTTTAACGTAATATAAATAAATATTCAGACATACCCAATTTTAATATTTTATCATTATTAAATAGTATTGTGCGTAGTTCTGTCCAAAGATACAGAAAATTTCCTAATGTTGTAACATCAAAAATATATACATCTGTATTAGTTGCAATTTGTATCAGAGCTAGTTCTGATTTCTTAGCACCTACAAATTAATTTCAAAATTATTGAAACTTAAAAATATGATGTAGATTGATAAATATTCTAAATTTATCACCAAAACTTGGTTTCCATTCAGAATCAATACCAACAATATTAGTATTTTTTAAAGCATTATTTAAAAAGTCTACAAAGGACTCTGTGTCACTTATAATGTGAATACATGTTCTTGGTAAATTTAATGTATAAAAACTAGATTTTTTAGGTTCATTACTGATTTCATTATTGGTAGTATCATGTGGATTACCTTTATTTAATTAAACAGAGTATTAAGATTTTGAATTTAAAAACGCTTAAAATATGTCTAAAAAATATATAAAATATTACAATCTGGATGTGACAAGCTATTGGAATAACGTTTTAAAGACGAAGGCCACTTATTTCTAGGTACATTGTAGATATGAGCAAAATATAATGCTTCCATACAATCATTTGCATTTACAAGAAATACCACAATCTCGACTTGCAATAGTGGATCATTGCCAATTGCTTCTTTTACCATTTCTCTCCAACTATCGACACCTATAATGTAATAAGAAAAAAGAAAAAAATAAGTATTAGTGGTACAGTATTTTTTGTAGATCTATCTATATGTAACTTAGAATTGATATTAATTTTCAATTGTATTTAAAACTTACATTATGATATAAAAAAAAATTAAGTTAATAAATGTAGATTAATGTTATTTGTATAAATACAATATGAAAAATGAATTTAATAAAATTTTAGATTAACTATATCTAAATTAGCAAAAATTTACAATTGAACAGTCTTTAAAAATTGACATTAGTGAATTTACATATATTATTTAAATAAACAATAACTTACTTAGGCTTCCATCTACATAACGTTTATATATTAAAAATCGAAGTGCTCCTTGACCTCTTTTCATTTGTAAATTTGGACATGTTTCAGGTGGAAGATTATAAAATTTTACCAATCGTGCTAAAGTTTTAGCTATAGGCTTATGTTGTAGAGTTATCATTTTTACATCAGGTATTTTATGATGACTGTAATATATTTTCATAATATTAGATGATTGATACTTAAATTTAATATATTTATGTAATAAACATACATTATAAACTGATCCAAAGTCTTTTGTGAATTATTATCTGGAGAAAGTAATTTATCCAAATAAGTTACATATGTGCATTGCATATCTGGATAATCTTTTAAAAGATCTTTTACAATACTAATTTTATTTTGCAAAAATAACGGCAATAACAATATTTCTGGATCGTCAAATGATTTTTGAAGTTTCAACATTTCTGTGAACTGCCCTGCTTCTTTGAACTTTTTATTTCTAATCAATTCCTACATAATAATTTAATCAATTATATTACTTAAAAAATTTTTAAATTTCTTTTTAAAAAATTACCTTTATAAAAGGAATGAAATATATATTATCTGTGGAGAATTCGTAAACATCTGATACCATTCTTACAAATTGTAAGCATTTTTGTTTACTAACTAATTTAAAGGCAGCTACTTTTAATTCAGGATAAAGACAATATTTATAATTATTTTTGACAGGGTTAATCCACTTTTCAAATTCCTCAATTACTGTAAATATTTTATGTTTATTTAAAATAAAACATATACTTAACAATAAAATAAATTGTAGAATGTGACGTAAAATTATTAATTAAGTTATGTTCAAATTATTTTCTAATCTATAAAATTTCCTTCTTATATTTTTTTATGAATAAAGAAAATTAGCGTACTTGTAACTGCTAGAGAAGATTTTATTTTTATTTGGTAAAAATGATTTGTATTTACTAAAATTTTTAAAGTACTCAAATAAGGATTTGGAGCAGTTTCAAAATATTCATGTAAAGTTCGTGTTACAGCAACACTCTTCTTCCCTAAAAATAAATTATTTTAAATGGTTAATCAATATTTAAATTATATAAATATCAACTTTTTTATTTCAATGTTTTCAACTTACAACAACTCCAAATTAGATGTAGAGAATTTAACCAAGTTTTTGTTGCATTGTCTATAGATGAAAAAAATTCTAGTTCAGATTCTGGATCTTCTTTTTCAATCGTAAAATTATCGTTATCACAAAATGCTTTTGCCATGGTAAATAACAAATTCTAAAATCTTACAATCTAAAAGTTATATTTTGATTGAAAAAATTATATATAATTTTTAGAAAAAATATGTATTGTTATTATTAAACAAAACGATACAAATTAACAAAACTCTTCTAAATAAATAAAAAGTATAAAGTTTATGATATAAATAAAATTTCTTATATTAATTGCAATTTGAGCAAAAATGCAATAGCATTATTAGAAACATATGGGAGTTTATTTTAACCTCAAATTTTAAACACTTGTATAGATTTTTCTTTGGTAAGTCAATTTCTTCAGTCTTTTAATTACTTTTTTGGTTATTCTATCAACTGACTTTGATACTTCTGAAAAGTAGACTACAGCTATTTAATTAATGAGAAGAAACAATTTTGTTCATTTTCGAATTCAGAACACTTTATTAAATAGCCATTTTGTTTTTTGGAAACTGACTACTGACTGTTCCCTTCAGATACTATATAATAAACACTTGATTTCACGGTTGCTACTGCTAATATTTACTCCTGAAATTTTTCAATTTGAGTAATAATTTACATACATATTCATACTTAGCATCCACCCATGATAACATTAAACATGATAACAAATAAAATAATGTAGATTTTTTGTATAAATTGAAGTTAATTGACTTTTTGTATATTTGTATTCAATTCAAAAAATGTTTATATAATTACTTACATTATATTATTTATTTTAATATTTTATTTTTTTAATAATGTATATTGCTATATAAATAATTCATACTTTTATTTATTTTTTGCTAGAAAATACTAGAAAATTTTTTACTTATTATTACTAGAAAACGTAAGAATAATTTAATCGATTTGGATAATTATATAGTACAATTATTAAATATTTAATACATTTCATACATTTTTTATTTTTGTGCTATATTTAAATTATATAAAATTCTTATCTTTTGCTCAGAAATGCATGAATTTAATGTAAAGCTTTATTATTTATAATTAGTGCAGTTGAGTATGTATTAAGTTTGTTATAAACTTGTGTCAAATAATAAAGGCCAAAAGTTTGTTTTTTTTAATTCAACAAAGAAATGAAAGTTTATTATTTATTTTATTTATTCTATCAACAAATAAATTAGTAGTTAGTACTTGCAATATTAATTGCAATGTGTATTTATTATTAAAATGCTATTAAAAATAAATAAACAAAATAATTTATATTATTAATATAGCAATTTCTAAATTATTACGTTGAAGTAACAAAATTTCAAACCAAAAATTGTTATGACATTTTTTGCTAAACGTATTATTTTTTAATTTTGTTATTAAAAATATTATTATATTTTAATATATTAAATAATATCTTAAAGAAAGTTGTTACAATAAGAGGTCAAAATTCAAAGTATAGTGCAAGGAACTTGTAAAAGAAAAATTATTAGAAGCATATATTTACTGTCAAGGCAAAGGCAATTGCATATCCTGTCATCAAAAAACAATTATGTATACAGGCATTTGTACATACTTGGCTACAATCAGACAAGCAGGAAAAATGCGAATTGGGGTGTACAAATTAAAATTTTTCCTTCACGATCACTCTTTTTCATGTATACTAATGCATCTTCTGAACCGGCTACGTACCCCCACGACAATCAAACCCGAGCCCTTCGCGAATCTATAAAAGTAAATCAAAACGAGTTTGTCAGACTCTCTTGCCTATCTCTCGTTGTCATATCTCATTATCAGATATCTCATTTGAGAGTAATATCGAAATTTTGAGCAGGAAATAAGGAATAAGGTTATGTTCATGCAAGGCGTTTAAGACGTCAAATACTCATTATCTATTTAATAATTTAGCGCTTGTTTGCCTTAAAGTATGATTTTAAATTTTAAATACAACGCCAGAGGAGAGTGGCTGTGACTTGAACTCGTAGCAGTGGCGACATTCAATTCCAATATCTCCATATCAATTACAAACAACGGCTGCACCCTGCATCTCTCGTGGTTATAATTTTGTAAGTCAGTCAGATAACCGTGGCGCAGCAGCAGTGGTAGCGGCGGCGGCGGCGCGACAGCGATTACTATTGCGGAGTGTACCCATCTCACTCACTCTTGTGTATCGATGACTTTGAGGGAGCGAGCGAGTTAGGAAAAGAAAGAAGGAAAGAAAGTAAGCATAAATAGGTACAGAGTACGAGGCAACGACAGCTCGACGAAGTCGGCACCCTCATCGAGCAGTCAACGGACGCCAGAAGATAGTTATGCTTGTGCAGGCCTAGCAGAGCGGGTGTCAAGATGGCCGAATAGTGACGGTGGCGGGTAGTCGTGCGCAAGGAAGACGGAGAGAGGACTGTTTTTATTCGTGGATTATTATTATTATCGTCGGGGAGACAAGAAGCTGTGAACATAACGAACGCTGGCAGCGACAGTGTGTTTGCGCGGTTATGTCCGGTTGAAGAGAAGTTTTGCAGATGATGGCTTAGCGCGCGCACAGAACCCTATATCGATATTTTCAACTATCAACCCCCGCTTACAGACTTTTGACAACGTGCTTGTGTGTCTATGCCTGTGCGTGTGCGTCGTCGAGGAGAGCAGTAGCAGCAATAGCGGTGGCGGCGGCCGCAGCCGAGGTTCGCAAGGAAAACGGCGGTGAAGGAGTTGGAGACGCTGGCGACGGACACGACGACCAGGAGCCATGACCGAGTTTAATGTCGACCTCGGCAAGCTCCCCGAGGATGTCCGGGAGAAACTCGCCGAGCTAGATCTTGAACTCTCGGAAGGTGAGTGAATTGAACGGGGCTCGTTACTCTTGTTATTGTGCAGGTTATCCTATTCGATATGCTCTGTATTTCTGTGTTTCTATCTAGTATGTCAATTGTTGCGTGTGTAGCGTTAATGTACACATCTACATGTATGTACGCGTATGCCTCGCGGTTGCTGTTCTGACTCACCCCGTTCGGTCGTCGCGCCCGATATTCATAGTAGTATTGAAGAACGAGCGAATGGATGTATAGAGGTACAGTGTATGAAATATCAGAAAAGCCTCCGTTTATCCAGCTGTATAACAACGCGAGGACCATTTTATGTGCACCACACACAAGGACGAACAGGGGAGAAATTTAAAGAGAGAGAAAGACAGAGACTTTAATCGATAATTTCTCACGCGTTCGTGTTTGGTCAAAGTGTGTGAGGGAAACGTGTAAAAGATCCACTACAGATGATTCGAATATGCGTGTGCAGATGTACGGTACTATGGGCAACTGTATAAATGCGTATTGATGTACATGTTAAAACGAAACCGGAATTTTATTCATCCCTGACGTCACTTTTTCGATTAGTCGCATTATTAACACACTTGTGAGAGTGCGCGTACACAATTTTTATTGTCACGTGAGGCTCAACTTAACTATCAAATTTTATTTAATAAGCTCTTAAATATTATATTCTTTAATTCATCTCACTTATGATTAATTCTTATCAAATTTCTTAAACGGACAGTGAATAATTTTTTTGGATCTTGAATATGAAATACAGCGAGGTGTCAATTCTTATAACTTGACCTACATTTTTAAAGCGAAACAGAATGCGAATTTTATAGCGAATTTAATTGTTTTATATATTAACTATTACTTCTATCTAATGTTGTTAAATACATTATAAAATTTTATAAAATTTTTTTAATAAAAATTCCGTTTTTGTGATGCATACGTAAGATTTGACTGTCTTTAAAATATATATATTTAATATATATATTTTATATATATATATATATATATATATATATATATATATATATTTGTGTGTGTGTGTGTATGTATATTAAATTACGCATATTTCATAAATAAAATTTTACAATTTGTAGTCCAGTATAACGAAAATGTTGTTCTGTTTCATTTAGATGTTTGATTTACTTTTTATTACGTTTAGCGACTATATACAATGAAGAATGATTAATTTTACATACGACCAAGGAATAAGTTGATTTACTGCAACCTGAATTTGATAATTTGTTTTATTTTATATTTTTCTTTTCATTATAAGAGAGAATAAATTTTTTAGATAATAAAAGTACGATGACTAACAGCTTCTTTCTATTAAACAGATTTGTTATTTCCTCGCTTTGGAACTATTCTCAACTTCCTTTTCTACTAAGTTAAGTAGAAAATTTTTGGACGAACATATAAAGACAATATGTATATCACGAATTATAGAGATCCAGATGTATATATATATATTATATATGTATACTTTTTAGTAATATAATATAATAATAAACATAATAGTAAATTTGGTTATGTTTTTACAGTTAAAAAGTATCAATTAAAATAGCTTCGTTAAATATAATTTGTATGAATATTGACCGGAGTTTAAATTTTTGTTCTTTTATAAAGAGGTATAATATAATAATTTTTTTCATTTTTCTATCACTATTTAAAAAAGAGGACATTTGTGTATTATTAAAAAATACATATTTATTAATATTAACAAATTTGTAAGAAATATCTTGATTTTTCAAATCTATGTTCTAGATCTGATCATATTTACAATTATCTTATGATTTAAGTAAAGTGATGTAGAAATAAAAATATATAAAAGGTAGATTAGATTTAAATATTTTATTGATATTCTTAATCTTTTATGAATCATTTATGACGTCATTTAGCCTCGAATTAAATAGATTGGAACGCTTTATAAACGTTAGCTAAAGTCAATAAGATATTATAAATGTAATATTTTCAAATAATCTCAAATCATATATTTTGAAATTTTTTTTTATTAAAAATCTTAAACATGATGATTATACAATATTTATTTAATAGATTTCATAGATATAAGTGATACTGGCTTTGAAATAAAATTTGTTAATGTAGTATAAAAATACTTTATTATATTTAATATTATTTAAAAATATGATATATACGGTTGTTTTTATAGTTCTTTATAGTAAAAAAACAAAAATCATTAATTTTAAAATTAAGAAAAAGTTGCTAACATTATTTTAGTAAAGTAAATATATTATATATTTTTTATATTTCATACAAATTATGAATATAAAAGATAATCGAATTCTTTTATTAAAAATTATAATTAAATTTTTTAAAAATTTAAATACTCTTTCAGTACGATATTTTGATTGAAATAAAATAAGATTAAATACATAATTAATTGATTTAAAAAAATTAAAACAAACAATTACATTTAACGCAAAAAGGGCATGACAATTTACTATAAATTATTTATAATATACATATTATGATATTATTGTTAGAAGTTTTTTTTTATTTTATAATATATTTACCATATCCTAAAATTATGTAACTGTTAACTAAAATGTGATTACATTTATTTCAATTTGACCTAATCAATTTTAAATGATCATAAACATTATGAGATAATTTAATTTTAATTAAAAATTATAAATAATAATTATAAATATGTACATTATAATATGTACATATATTAATAA